CCCACTTCTGTAAGCATCCTCTTTGGCGTGACGAAGCTGTTTGAGTTTCCCAGTAAACCACGGTTTATCATTATTAAATGATAAGAATGTCCTGGTAGGACTGCACATATCTTCACAGAAACTGATGTAAGATGTTACAGTCTCTGTGAGCTTTTCCAGATCGGTGGCAGCAGCTTCAAAAACACTCCAATCAGTGAGGTCAAAACAAGCTTTTAAATCCTGCTCTGCTTCATTAGTCCATCTTTTTACAGTCCTTAATACAGGTTTAGCTGATTTCAGTTTCTGCCTGTAGGTCGGTATAAGATGAACTAAACAGTGATCAGAGAGCCCCAAAGCTGCTCGTGGGACAGAGTGATATGCATTCTTTATTGTGGTGTAACAGTGATCCAATATATTACTGTCTCTGGTGGGACATGTGATGTGCTGTCTGTATTTAATTATTTAATGATGTTTAATATAGTATGTTGCCTTCTTGAGCATCACTGAGACCTTTAAATTAAATTGTGAAAAGCTGGATTCCAAGCACTGTATGGAAGACTCACAACTGTAAATTTAAATTTATTCATAGCAAAAACTTTTACCGAAACTAACTTACAAAATGAGACACATTCAAGTAATTTGTCATAAGAGATGTATCGATATCTGAATTTCACAACTCCAAGTTTGATTATCAGTTAAATTAGTATATATAGAGCATAATTAAAAATGAGAAGGAACAAGAGGGTTTTTAAATTGAAAATAAGTGCATTTGCAAGCAGCTGCAGGTAACCCGTGGACAGGCACATGTAGGGGTGTGACATGTGCAACTATCACAGAACATACAAACAGTTATTAATCGTCATCAAGCAGGCAACATATCAAAATAATCAAGAGGATATAATCTTTTAAACCCCTTCATTGGTATAATTCTTTTTTTTAAAATTCATATTAATTATGAGGTATTGCATGTGGAATAGATGTAAATATGTGCTATGTGAAAGAACTTCATCAGGGCAGTACTGAACGTAATTGAATTTGGGGGGTTGGGGGTGCCAACATTTTCACTCAACTGTAATTACCAGTAGCTACTAGCTAGCTTGTTAGATTATTTATACTCTCAAAGTTCATATGCTGAACTCCATTGTAAAATCAGCATGGCATGTAGATGAATAGATGTGACTTTCACTGTTACTTTTTCTATGTAAATGTTGTTACATGTTTAAAAAAATACATGTTAATAAATATAGACTGTTAATTAATGTATTATGAATTCATGGGTGCATTTATGTTCTTTCAAAAACTAATCTATAAAATTAAATTTTCACTGCATTTTCAGATTGACAAGTCTGTGCTCTCTGTTATGACTGATGAGCAAATGGCAAAGTATATTAGTTCATATGGTGACCGACTGGCTGTCATCTCCTTCTGTCAACAAACAGCTGCCTGCTCTGATAAAGAATCTCTGTTACAAAATTTGAGAGCTAAAATTGAAGCAAGGAAACTGGGATCAAAGTCCGCTAAAGCTTTGCATGGAAAAGCATGTGTCTTCCCTAAGGAAAATAATTTAATGGCAAGACACAAAAATGTATCTGCAGAAAGAATCTCCAGGAGAATTGAAATTGGATGGCTTCACTTTGGCTGTAATGGATACCAACAAGTGAGGACCAATAATGGTGGTGGCACTAGGCATTTGACAGTTCAAAAAAAGACAACTGTTTTACAAATAATGGAAATGGGAAATAACCTTTTTTCCCAAATGGAGAGTCACCAAAAGGTCCAGAAACAGACTTCACTTTTCATGTTTGTGATTTTAAAAGAAAACACATTCTCATGGACGGCACTGTTGGAGATCTGTATGAACTAACCAAACTGAAATAGTTGAGATTTTACATTTGCACTAAACAAGAGGTGTGCCTCACAGATGTAGAATCTTTATCGGATGGTGATAAAGAAGAATGTAATGAAAACTCATTATTACAGGATGGATTAGACGGTGATACTGAGAGACCTGCTGCAAAAGTGTCATCGCATGGACATGACAGTGATCTTGAGGATACAAGCACACATTTATTGGATGACAGACTTTCATCTAACAAAGACACCAAGAGGAAGGTTAGTAAAATCATGAAGACTCTGACTTGAATTTATTTGAATATATTTTGGGCTTCATTTGTAAATACAGTCACAGAAGAGTTGTTCATTATCATTTAGGGCTAAAACGATTAGTCACCATTATCCACAACGTTGACAACAATAACATAACAAATGTTTTTGTTATGGTTTACTGTTAGCAAACTTCACAGTGTTGCTGTGTGCTTTTGTTTCAATGACAAAATAAACACACTACAAAAATGAGTGGTGAGAAAACATCTGATCATAGTGATTTTGATATGTTTGCACCAGCTCTGCAATCTGCAATCCAGTTAAGTCAAGTAATTTATTTATATGATACTTTATGCAATACATTGCTTTAAAGCAAGCAGCTTTACAGTATTAATCATGGAAAATACAGTGTCACTTTCAGTTAGAATTACAACTTGATTTTTTGCTACAAAGTAGCTCTATATGTATATGAAAATGTATAGACTGTGTATAACTGAACAATCGATCAAAACCTACTGATTACTGATTAATCTGTGAAACAACCGCTGATTAATCGATTGTCTAAATAATTGTTTGTTGCAGCCCTGACATCATTTAATTTGGAATTAAATGCTAATCAATGAATGTTATATTGAATGTTTTTCAGAGACAAGTAAGGACAGAAGCCCAGAGTACAAGAGGAATGGAAGATGTTCCTCAGAGTGGTTTTACCTTAGAGACACCCAGCACATCACACGAATCTCTTTCACCACCCAGAGATATCCAAAGAACACACACCATCCAAAGAGTCGCAAGCAGCTCAAGTGACGAGGAGACTGATGAATCGTGGAGACAATGTGCACAGCTATCGAAAAGTCCACAGCATTCACATGAGCACTTTGATTTTCAGAGAAGCTATGAATTCATTGACTTGACCAATCAGATTCCTCCGCTACACAACAGCATAGTTCAGAGTCTTGGAGATGATGATGATGATGATGATAAAGAAGACACAGTTGAATGGAACGAAGGAGAAGAACTTGAACAAACAGATGAGGACCAAGAAGTTAAAATAACATGGAATGAGAACATCATACAGGTAATGTGATCCTGATGGACCGAAAGTCACAGTGTAGATTTGAAAATTTTATATTCAAACTACAAGCTTTAAATGGAAATTATAAATCACCTTAAAACTACAATGTACATCCTAATTACAATAGAAATTATCTTCGGGGGCTTTAATGGTCACAATACATCCAATGTCCCCTGCTTTGTGCTTCTTACTCACCACTAGGCAACCGTTACATTGTCAAGTGACGCTACTTTTTTCTTTTTTTACGTTTTTTTGTGACAATGTGTTTCACTTTCATTTTCTGCATATTTATTGATCCTCCAGAATGCAGAGTTGAATGAAGCTGAAAATGAGGTGCCATCACCACCCTCAAGTAATAGCAATCCTGCACTGCTGGTAAGAGAGCCAAAATATGTTTTGCATGTGGAAGTCCTTTAGATAATAAATGATCAGTCCTAATATACCTGCACGGTCAATTTAAAATACTTTTGTGTAAGATTTGGCTTTGTCCCTTCCTTAATCTTCTTTGTATACAAACAAAGTCTGTATAGATCATATACATAATACATAAGAACAAACCTTTGAAACTTGAAACATGAATTTATAATTAACAAAGTTCTTCATTGAGGCCCTAAATTAATCTAAGTAATCAGAGAATCAAGCTTCTTGTAATACCTATAAGTAGGCATTTATGATATTTGTGAACAAGACTAAAATCACATAACACGAGACTGAAGTTCCAAGTTTTATAGGAACAGTTCTAAATGAAAATTCTGTTGCTCATGTCATCCCAAACCTGTATGACTTTCTTCTTCTGTGGAATACAAGTGGGGAGCTTGTAAAATTTTTTTTTTTTCATGCAATTACAAAGATTGGGGACTGGACTATGTCAGGAAAATATATCTTAAATCAATTTTAACAGAAACTACATTATTATTATTTTTTCAGTTAATGACAATGTTTTAAAGTAACACAATTGGAAAATCTGGAACTAAACTTAAGTATTCAAAATAAAAACTAAACTAAAATAAAACTAATATATATATATACATACAGTATCTCACAGAAGTGAGTACACCCCTCACATTTTTGTAAATATTTTATTATATCTTTTCATGTGACAACACTGAAGAAATGACATTTTGCTACAATGTAAAGTAGTGAGTGTACAGCTTGTATAACAGTGTAAATTTGCTGTCCCCTCAAAATAACTCAACACACAGCCATTAATGTCTAAACCACTGGCCACAAAAGTGAGTACACCCCTAAGTGAAAATGCCCCAAAATTAGCCATTTTCTCTCCCCGGTGTCATGTGACTCATTAGTGTTACAAGGTCTCAGGTGTGAATGGGGAGCAGGTGTGTTCAATTTGGTGTTATCGCTCTCACTCTCTCATACTGGTCACTGGAAGTACAACATGGCACCTCATGGCAAAGAACTCTCTGAGGATCTGAAAAAAAGAATTGTTGCTCTACATAAAGATGGCGTAGGCTATAAGAAGACTGCCAAGACCCTGAAACTGAGCTGCAGCACAGTGGCCAAGACCTTTGCAGCTTTAACTTAATTACACAGTGCCATTTTACAGTGACGCTAAAGAAAAGCTTGTTTAGAACAATATGAGGGTGGGAAAACTATTTTTGAAAAATTATTTAACTGATTAGTAGAAAATAAAGAAATCTCGGAAAAATTGTTATAAATTGTTTTTACCTTGCCTTTTCTATGGGTAGTGAAATGCCTTCACCACCAGAAAATTCGCCATCCCGTTCAGGAAACCATCTTTCTCTTATAACTTCATCTGGAAACTCAGAAAATGCAAAAGTTGTGCATGCTTTAATACACAGGGTAAAGGTTGTAGGCTGTGTTCATGGATAGCAGCATAATTCAATCTACTCTGAAGATGGAATTTGTAAATGAGAAAGCTGTAGATGATGCTTGAGTGTCCAGAGAAGTTTACACTGCATTCTGGGATCAGTTCCTTGAACAGTGTGAAGGGGAAGATGAGCAGGTTCCTAGACTAAGACCAGACTTCTCTGAAGCTGAATGGGAGGCAGTAGGAAAGATCTGGGTAAAATGATTACTTGACCTTGGTGTACTGCCAGTAAGGCTTTCCAGTGCTTTCATTTTAGCATGTATGCATGGAATTGACTCAGTCAATGATGATGTCTTGATGTCATTTTTCCACAACTACCTCTCTTTGACTGAATAAACTGCCATTGCAAAGGCTTGTCAAGGCACACTGGAGGAATGTGATGAAGATGATTTGCTTGACCTCTTCACAAGAATGGGCTCCCATTGTATCCCTTCAAAAAACACCATGAAAGTTGCTATCCAAACAATGGCTCACAAAGCAATTCTTCAAGAGCCCAAATATGTAATAGATTGTTTCTCCCAGAGACATGCCATTTGCACTGCTGAAAGTACCAGACCAGGAAAGTCTGTCTCTGTATGACACAAAGAAGTCCACTGGCAAAAAAGTGGCACAGCTACTTCAAACAACACAGGTGATTCGCTCTCAGAAAGAACAGATGGTATTCAATCATCTGCAACGTTATCTCAGAAATGCTGACCAAAGCAAAGCAGAAAAATGTATACGGTTCTGCACTGGTTCTTCTGTTATATGTGTTGATCAAATCAAGGTAAGCTTCAATGCAGAATCTGGCCTCAGCAGAAGACCAGTAGCTCATACCTGTGGAGCTACTCTTGATTTATCTTATACGTACAGTTCTTACCCAGACCTCCCAGTTTGACAACATTCTCTCTAGTGATTACTTGGAAATGGACATCCTGTGAATTTGATGCTGCTCAGGAATAGTTCATAGTCATCAAAGTCACTTTTTTGGAACTTGATTGTCTGTAGTTATGAACTTGTTGGTAACAATCTGTGTGAAGGTATCTTTTTTGTTAATTACATAAAATGTAACCATGTAATATGTGGTCAGGTTTGTTTGGTTTTAAAATCCTTTAGCCATTAATATTGCTAAATTATTATTTGATTCTTATGTCAATTTAGTCTTATATGCATTTTGTTTACAGTGGAAAAAAAGTGAGTTTAATGTTTTAAAATATGGATTAATTATAGTTATGCTATTCAAACTTTTTGAATTGAAACTGTACTTGAAATTTTTGCAAACATTCTGATTTCCATTCTATGCAGTACCATTTTGGTTGTTAGTAAGGAAAGTTCTCTGAATCTTTAACCTTTTTTTATTTCATTTTTTTATTTGTTTCAACAGAGACTACATGTTGATACAGGTTCAAATTTGGAAATTAACATATCCTCGGTAGCCTTTCTTTCCAGTTATAAACAACTTTGTAAACAAACAATTTTTCAAAAGTGTTTTCATTTTTAATGACTTCTATGTGTCAAGATTGTAGTCTGGTAAATTGTAATTCTATATAAAAACTTTCCACAATGTTGCAGGTTTCCCCTGGGGACAGTATTGTCTACAGATTATGTAAATATTTCAGATAAAAATGACCTTGCCTTCTTACTTACAGTAATGCCCCGATCACATCTCTTAAATGCATGTATAAGTTCACAGCTTGTTATGGGTCTCTTGGAATGTTCAACCTAGACTCAGAGATTATAACATTACACAGTTCATTTACATCTGGATCACATGGTATGGGGCGTCGGAAAGTGCATTCGTTCTTGCACAATTGAACACTTTCAGTGTCGGCTGAGGTGAGGAAGTATCTGGTGTGGTAGAGCTCAGGCAGTGCATACATCACACTGGGCCGACTACTGGGGTTACTGATGTTCTTTGATGGCCTAATGGTGTGTGCATTACAAATCTGTGCAGTGTCATCCAGCTCATCCTGTAAAATATTACAATAAAAAAAAATTAGGCAAAACTTCGAAATGGAGAACTCAAAACTGTAAATTGTGTCCTCATTTACTAAGTGTATCATTGTTTCAAACATCCAGACATCTGTGGAAACCAAAGGATGATGGATACTGCTCTGAATGTCTCCTTTTTGTGTCCCACCAAAAACAGTCATGTGTTGTATTGTTTGGAACAATGGAGTAATGACAAACGCTCTGATGTCTCTTGCAAGAATGATTGCTTGTTCTTCAGTTGCCACTGATTTAAGGCAATCATCAACGTAAAAAAAAATTCTTCAAGAGGGTTTGAGCTGCTTCTGGAGTAGTGTCGTTGATTCCATCTTTTGCTGTTCTTTGAAGAGCGTAACAAGAACAACTCGGTGAAGAGGTTGCACCAAACAGGTGTACACGCATCCTGTACTCCTCTTCATCTTGATCCAGGTTGCCGTCCGGCCACCAGAGGAACCTCAGGAAGTCTGCATCCTCAATGGGTACTCGAACCTGATAAAACATTGATTCGATATCAGCCATCATTGGGATCGGCTCTTCACGGAATCTGGACAACACCCCGATAAGCGTGTTGGTGAGGTTAGGCCCTTGAAGTAACTTGACCATTTAAAGAAAATCCTTGGTAAGATGCATTACAGTCGAAGACAACGTGGATTTTCTTCTTCTTCTGATGATAAACCCCGTGGTGAGGAATGTACCACACCCACACCACGGTGCAAATTCTCGTCAAGTACTTTCTCAGCATACCCTTTCTCTATGATGTTGCTCATAAATCTGGTGTAGTCCTCATGGAATCCAGAATTCCTTTTGAGTCTTTTCTGAAGACTCTTGAGACGCTGTTCCACTACATCCCAGTTGTTCAGCATCTTGAACTTGTCATCTTTCAAAGGCAATCTCATGCTGTAGTGACCATCCAGGAGCTGAGTAGACTTGTTCACAGGCATCATGAACTGTCGGTCTTCTTGAGACATTTCAGAATTATCATCATAACGACGTTCAGGAAAATCAAGATCAAACTGCTTCACCAGCAAATCTTCAATCTTCTCCACAGATATACGATTCACTGTATAGCTCTGTATACCAGATTTTTTGTCTTGATGCTCTCTTCTTTCGGTCCATTGACTATCCAGCCAAGAACTGTCTTCACTGCATAAGGCCCATTACTTCTGCTGTTTATCACCTTCCATGGTTCCATGGCCTTATGAGCATTCACTCCAATAAGTAGCCCTACTGCAGCCTCGATATGTGGAAGACGAACTTCATGCAGGTAAGGCCATTTCTCAATATCCTCCTGTTTAGGAATGTTCCCTTCTTTTACAGGCAATTGTCGCTGAGTCAAGACATTGGGTAGTTCGATATAAGTATTCTCTTCTACACTACACACTTAAGTCAGACAGCAAGTATCTTCGCACCTTTCTTTGTTGACCCATAGTACAAAGTAGAAAATCAGTTCTCTTGCCCTGTATGTTCAGTTGATGCATGAGATCTTCTGTGCAAAAGGTGGTTGTGCTTCCTGGGTCTAGGAAAGCGTAAGTCTCTACTGATTTTTCACTCTTCTTTGATTTCACCTTTACAGGTATAATGGAGAGGATGCACTCACCATCCCCAGCCCCAGTATATCCACAGGTTTTCTGACCCAGTGAAAGAAGAGCATTTGCAACTGCTAAGTCATGGTCATCAGACTTTTGATCTCGGTTATCTTCATGTTTGACTATATGTAGGAAACCTGGATGTTTTTGTGAGCAATCTGGACATGATATTTTCTTCTTACAATCTTTACTCATGTGTCGTTGTATTAGACAGCCAAAGCACAGACCTTTACTTTTAAGAAACTGAATTCTGTCTTTGTATTCCTGCTCCTTGAGCTTAATACAGGAATCCAGTGTGTGTTCCTTGTTACAGAACAAACAAGCCTTTTGGACTGCAGAATCTGATTTCTCTGTGTTCTGTTTCTTTTGTAGTGAGTATTCTGCTTTGTCCTTGCCAGCCGGTGAAACATTTTTTAATTAGCATGTTTTTGTGTTTTGCTTTGGTACCGAAATTGGTACCGAGAACCGTGGATTTTCACTGGTATTGGTACCGAATACTGAAATTTTGGTACCGTGACAACACTAGCTGCTTTATAAACAATTCCGTTATCTCATTTTGGCGTTGCATCACTTTGAACAGATATCTGTCATCATCAGTTGACTGTTGAGTGTTACAATGATCTATGGTTTGTTGAGATGGTCTCTGGATAGAGCTGCAATCCTGGATGCTTGACATAGGCTCAGACTTTATACACGGGTTAGATACTGGCTGAACTTGACGTTCCTTTCGGCTTTTGAATGAATCAACAGATTGTGACCCAGTCTGTGACCTGTAATAATCATTCATGCCATCTTGACCTTCTTCATACTCCTTTAACACTTTGAGTTCAGCATTTGATGCAGCAATTTCTGTATCTAGTTCAAGCTGTTCTCTTTTGGCCTTCAATCTCAACTCTTGAGCCTCTAATTCTTGCCTCTTTCTTAAAGCAGATACCCGGGCTAGAAGTGCTGCATGCTTAGCCTCTGCCTTGACATGAGCAGAACTGGTTGAAGATGCCACAGAACTACTTGTCACAGATCCACTTTTCCTTCTATCATGAGGAGCCATAACTTCTGACACACTATCACTTGGTTTAACACCATCGCCATCTTCATCTTGAGGTTCAAGCTTATCAGACTCGCTTCCTTTATTTGTGGTTGAAATCCATTTTTTCACATCAAACGTAAACTGCCGAAAATGTTCAATCTTGGGTTGAAACCAATTAATCTGATCTTTTTCCCCATCTTCATCAGACAACATGAGTAACATTTCAGCATTCAACTCTTCAAACTGACATAAGATCTGGCAAAAGACATTCAGTTCCTTTTCAACAGTTTTCACATCTTCTTTGTCTTGCATTAATCTGTCAATTTCCTTCGTTTTGCGTGTTAACTGTGCCAGTTTCCCTCGTCTCTCGTTCATAAATCGATTCATTTTCTCTTCAGCTGCCTTTGCAGTAGGCTTTGGCGCCCTCTTGTGGCCATTACCCGGTACATTCGCATGCACAGAATCATCCGCCATTCTACTTAATTAGAAAGCAGATCTTCACGCACACCATCGCAGTTAAATTAAGCTGCTGCAATTATTTGTAGTCTTCTAAATATTCACAAACTCCACTTGTGAAAAGACTTCCATCACAGTACCTGTAGTCCTTTTGTACCGTCCTTCTAATGTTCGCTGAGATTCGCGAAACGTCCTTCAATGAATCCAAGCAGCGTTTGTCGCGAGCCGTCCTCAACTTTCTTCATGAGCAGTTTTTTGACTTTTGTAATAGCAATAAATGTTCTTCTTGTTCTCTAGGCAAAGAATTGACTCGGGTTTTCGTTCCAATTTCAATCGTTTACTGGATGTTCTTGCTCAATAAACAGAAACAAAATAAACACCGTCGTGTAGCCCCGTCTTCTTCTTCTTCTTTTGGAGTTTTATGGCGGTTGGCAAACAAACGATAGGTGCATTCCCGCTACCTACTGGGCTGGAGTGTTGTGTAGCCCCGTCTTTCTTTCTTCCTTCCTTCCTTCCTTCCTTCCTTCCTTCCTTAAAGGGGCACCAAAAAGGCGCTTAAAGACAGTCCAATAATAAAACGGAGCAAACCATTACAGAATAAACATGGGGGATGTTTAACGAATATACATATAAATCCAAACACATTAAAATTAGTGCGAGGGAACGCAATTTTTTTTTTCTTTTTTTCTTTCCTCCCACCCAGAATTTTTATTTTTCCACCACCATGTCCCTTTAGGGGCTCCGTACAAAAGCAACATGATATGATTCTAATATAAAATATAAACGATTAACAGGTGCAAGCCTATGCAGAGTTTTATCGGGAGCGTGTATGCAGGGATTTCATACATTTCATGGAGAAAAAAGTAACGTAACTAATTACTAA